TGAGCGACATTATTTACTTTATTTAATTATTTACGCCAACTAATTACTGGATATTGTCTGGATGATACAAAAATAAACTAATCTAAATTGTATTGATATATTTTAAATTATTCATTCACCGAAATTTTTACTCAATTACTGTAGTGAACTCGGCACTAATGAAGTTAATTAGTTATCATTGACTTTCTCTCGCTCGTTCATCTCTCGTCTCGTCTCTCGTCGTGCGTCTTCTCGTCTTCTCTCGTCTCGTCTCTTTCTCTCGCTCTCTCTCTTCTTTCTCTCTCTCTCTCTCTCTCTCTCCTCGCCCGTCTCGGTGGTGCCGCCGTCTCTCTCTCTCTCTCTATCTCTTTCGCTCTCGTAATCTTTCTTTCTCTCTCTGCAGTGAGTTCGGTCCTGGGTGAACGGAACGACTGGGTGGAATGACCTTTGGCTTCAGGAAGGTTTGCAGCTACGGTCAGAATATTCTGGGCAGTGAAACGGGGACCGAGCCTCTGGGGACGCGGTATGCGTGTGCTGGCGTCGCGCGTGGTCGTGCGTGTGTGTGTGGTGGTGTGTGCGCGCCGTGGTGTGTGGCGCGGCGGCGCGATGGTGTGCGTGTATTATGGTGACGTGTGCGTGCGTGCGTGTGTGGGTGGCATTAATGCATGTGTGCATGTGTAGTATTCTATGTGTTTGTGTGTAGTGAGTGTGGCGTTGCGTGTGTGTGTGTGGTGTATGTGTGTTGTGTGTGCGTAGCGTGACGTGCACGCTCGGCGGTGTAATGTGCGTGTGCGGTGGTGTGTTGCGTGTGCATACACGACATATATATATATATATATATATATAAATAAACAACTATATATGTATTAAAGTATATGCATACGGTAACATCCTTTTATAATTATGAATAAATAATAATAATTGCTCATTATTATTCGTGTTTTTATCTGCCGGTCCAGCTGATCAGTTGCGGTGACCTTGGACCTGGTTCCAGTGCTAGAGCTGGATGCGACCGTGAACTCTCACCCCATCGTCGGTAGAGGTCAACAACCCGGATGAGATCACCTGCCATCTTTGATGTCTATCTCCGCTACAACAAGGTGAGGAACAGGACACATACTCACAAGAGAGAGAAGGGGGAGTGAAAGAGAGAGAGACGTGAAAAGTATAGAAGAGATGAGGGAGAGGGAGAGAGAGAGAGTTAAGAGTACAGAGAGGAAGAGAGAGAAAGAGAGAGAGAGAGAGAGCAGAGAGAGAAGAGAGAGAGAGAGAGGAGCGAGCGGCGAGCGAGAAGGGGGGATAGAGAGGGGAGAGAGAATGGGAGAGAGCGAGCGAGCGATGAGCGGAGAGAGAGAGAAGAGAGTGAGTGAGACCGACAGACAGACCTACAGATAGACGACAGACAGAGCGAGACAGACAGAACAGAGCAGACAGACAGACAGACAGACGACAGACATAGAGAGAAAGAAAAAAGGGGGAGCGCTCTAGGGAGAGGAGAGAGAGAAAGCAGGGAGAGAGAGCTGAAGGAGAGAGATGGGATGAGAAGAGAGAGAGAGGAAGGAGAGGGGGAGAGAGAGAGAGCAGAGAAGTGAGGGAGAGAGAGAGAGAGACGAGAGGAGAGAGAGAGAAGAAATGAGAGAGAGAGAGAGAGAGAGTGTGAGGGAGAGAGAGAGAGAGATGGGAGAGAGAGGAGAGAGAGAAGAAGGAGAAAGAGAGAGAGAGAGAGGAGAGAGAGAGAGAAGAGAGAGAGAGAGAGGAGAGGAGAGAGAAAGAGAGAGTAACTACATCGTTAATATGTTGCAGGGCGCATCAATAAATACGGATGTTGGATAGGCTATCGTTGGCGAGAGGATTTTCCGGAAAGGCATTAGAGGTAGTATAGTATGTATATATATTATTATATGTATGTGTGTGTGTGTGTGTGTGTGTGGGTGTGTGTGGTGTGTGTGGTGTGTGTGTGTGTGTGTGTGTGCGGTGGGTGTGTGTGCTTGTGTGTGTGTGTGTGTGTGTGTGTGATATGGGGTGTGTGTAGTGTGTGTGTCTGTCTGTCTGATCTATTGGTTGCGTGCGTGTGGTGTGTATGACGTCCGGCGTGGTGTGTGTGTTGTGTGGTGTGGAGGAGTGGTGTGTGTGTGTGTGTTGTGTGTGTCGTGTGTGTGTGTGTGTGAGTTGTGTGTGTGCGTGGTGTGTGTGTGTCTGTCTGTCTTTGTGCGTGTGTGTGTGTATGAGCGTGCGTGTGTGCGTGCGGGAGGGGCGTGTGTGTAGTGTGTGTGTGTGTGGTGTGTGTGGTGTGTGTGTGTGTGTGAGAGTGGGCGCGGTGTGTGTGTGCTTGTGTCTGGTGTGTGTGGTGTGGTTGTGTTTCTGTGATGTGTGTGTGCTTGTGTGACTCGATAGTAACTACGTAGTGTGTGCTGTGTGTGGTGGTGGCTGTGTGCGAGTGTGTGGTGTGCTGTGTGCGGTGTGTGTGAGAGTGACGTGTGTGTGAGCGGTTGTGATGTAGGCAGGAGCGTGCCGCGCCAGTTCAAAACCCTGACATTGACCAAAGCGCCTAATCACAACGTTATCTACTATTTACTAACGATATGAAATAACTAGATAATTACGAATTGAATAATAGGCTAATTACATTAGAAGCTATAACTGATCTGCCACTAGACTATTACAACTAATGTACGAACTATGTGAGACTATGTGAACAACCAGTGGTGCCGCATATGGCAGATGGGGTCGTTGGTCGTATCAGGTAGCTACAGGATATGGTACCCGAGGTAGTTTTAGGTGTCTTAGTATTAGCTTTGAATAATTTTTTATATGGAGTGCGTTTTAGGTTAGTGGTTAGGGCTTTAGGTTAGCTAGGGTTTTGGGTGTTTAGGGTTATGGATTAGGGTACATTGTCTGTAGTACAATTCGTGGTAGCAGGCTTTGTGTATATATGGATGTAACTCGGGTAGCATATCTGTGTGCCTGATACGGACAAGACCCTTCAGCACCAGTATGGACTGTCCCATGCGTCGGTGGTGCGTTCGCATGCTCATAAACGTCGTAGTATTTATGACGCAACTATTTGTCTATGCCGTTGTACGGCTGATGCGAGAGTTTACGACTGATGTTATCGGATTGAAGCAAGCATTGGTTATTACGCGGAGGCGATCAAAGGTCAGTACAAGGCATGGTTACGACCCACACACCCCACAGCACACACAGACACGGCACACACGACCACACCCCCCACACACACATCAAGCACCACATCACAGCACGACGACACACACACACACCCCAGCCCACACACACACAGCCGACAGGCACACGCACCACACACACACACACACAGGCCACACATCACACACACACACACAGTCAGACAACACGACACACGCACACGCGCAAACAGCACAGAGCACAAACACACCACACACACACACACACACACACACACACACGCACAGCGCACACAGTGGTCACCACAGCACGCACATCACGCACACACACGACACACAGCACGACACCACACACACACACACACACATCACACGCACACAGCGCACGCCAAGCACTTGCACACACACACACATCACACACACCACAATGCGTTTCCACCAGGTCACATCACAGCACGCCGCGGACGCAGTGGCGGCACGACAGCACAGCACGTGCGGCAACAGGAGAGGCATACCACACCACACACACACACACATCACCACACCGGTAACACACACACACACAAGACGAGCGAGCACATATATCACAGGCACACACACACCAACACACACCACAGGCACACACACACACACACACCTCACACACAGGCCAACACGACACACACTATCATACTTAGGGGCATAGATTCCTAGTCTGGTCAGGTGCCATTAGACGAGTGAGAAGAAATCGAATAAAAGCATAGATAGACATAGTATCTCAGTATATATCGCTTAGAGTACGTTCATGCATTACAGAACGAGAGATCTTGGTTCTTTTTTTAGTTGAAGTGAGTGAGATGGGGGTAAGAGAGAGAGAGCGAAGAGTAAGAGAGAGAGAGAGAGAGAGAAGAGAAGAGAGCGGGCGAAGAGGAGAGAGAGAAGGTGAGAAAGGAGAGAAATTAGCGCGCGGGCGCGGAGCGAGAGAGATGAGAGAGCTAATGAGAGAGCGATAGATTGAGAGAGAGAGAGAGAGAGAGAGAAAGGAGCGAGAGAGAGAAAGCGATGCGAGAGAGAGAAAGGAGAGCGAGAGCGGAGGAGAGCGAGAGAGAGAGAGAAAGAGAGAGAGAGAGAGAGAAGAGGAGATTAGAGAAAGCGGAGAGAGAGAGGAAGAGAGAGAGATGAGCGAGAGAAGAAGAGAGGACAGGAGAGAGAGAGAGAGGGAGAAGGAGAGGAGAGAGAAGGAGAGAGAGCGAGAGAGGCGAGAGAGAGAGAGAGAGAGAGAGCGCGCGCGCAGACGAGAGGAGAGAGAGAGAGATGAGAGAGAGCAGCGTGGTGGAGCGCTGCGAGAGAGAGAGAATGAGAGAGAGACGCGCGGCGAGAAAGAGAGAGGCGAAAGAGAGAGAGAGAGAGGAGAGGCGGAGAAAGGAGAGAGAGAGAGAGAGAGAGAGGAGAAGAGAGCGAGCGGAGAGAGCGCGAGAAAGAGAGAAGAGAGAGAGGGAGAGAGAGAGAGAGAGAGAAGAGAGAGGAGAGAGAGCGCGCGCGCGCCGGACGAGAGAGAGAGAGAGAGAGGAAGAGAGAGAGAGAGAGAGCGCGCGCGCGCGAGAGAGAGGAGAGAGAGAGAGATGAGAGAGAGAGAGAAAGCGAGAGAGGAGGAGCGAGAGAGGCGGCGAGTAGAGAGCAGAGAGAGGAGGCGAGAGAGCAACAGAGAGAAAGCGGAGAGAGAGAGAGAAGAGAGAGAGAGAGAGGCGCGAGCGACGAGAGAGAGAGGAGAGAGAGAGAGAGAGAGAGAGAGAAGAGAGAGAGAGAGAGACACAGAGAGAGAGCGGATAGAGAGAGAGGAGAGAAAGAGGAGAGAGAGGAGAAGAGAGAGGAGAGAGAGCGAGAGAGAGAAGAGAGAGAGAGAGAGAGGAGAGAGGCGAGAGAGAGAGAGAGGAGAGAGAGAGAGAAGAGAGAGCGAGAGAGAGAGCTATGTTGGGGGGCTCTACGAAGTCAGAATTATGTAGCGCTAACTATACATATAGTTCTGGTAAAAAAAAACAGAAGCATGTGTTGATCGGCTCGGATTTTTATCTGTACAGACATTTATATTGACGCCCCTATCTAATAGGTTGAGCTCGCGTGTGTGAAATTTGAATAGCTCTGAGCGTCATCTGTATACCCGCCGATATTGAGAAAAAAAATGGCTATAGCAAAGTTTGCAGACAGAACAAAATTAATATATAATTGTTTCGTTTATAAACTTAGTTTGTTTCATTGTGAGAAGTTTAACCTTGTTCCAGTTGAACAATCAATAGGAGTTTGGTGGGGTGATTATTATCAGGGCATTGGCCAGTAGTAGTTAGCGGCGCGTGTAACACAGATTTTTACTTCAGGGGGGTCTAACGTAAACCAGAACTTGCGAGCCCGACGAAGGGGGGTCGGTGGGGGCACAGCTCCCCAGTAAAATTTTGAAATAACCTCCTCAGATGCGTTTTCTGCCGCGAGCAGGGGGGTTCCGGACCCCTGGACCCCCCGCTCTGTACACGCCCCTGGGTCTTACTAAGTAACATTGTTACCGTCCGCCAAGGGGGTTGCAGGAGGTTATGTTTTCACCGGGCGTGGTGCTTGACTGTTTTGTTTGTTGGTTTGTGGTTTGTTTTGTGTAGCAGCCTAACTAAGAAAAGTCATGACGCTCGGTGGTGATCCGGATCAATAATAATTAATTAATAAATTAATACAATTTTCAGGATAGGTTAGAAATGGGGTAACTTAGAATTGATTACATTTTGGTGGTGATTCGGATCCAATTAATTAATTAATAAAATATTTAGGATAGATCAGAAATGGGGTAACTTAGAATTGATTACATTTTGGTGGTGATTCGGATCCAATTAATTAATTAATAAAATATTTAGGATAGATCAGAAATGGGGTAACTTAGAATTGATTACATTTTGGTGGTGATCCGGATCCAATTAATTATTTAATTAATTAATTAATAAAAATTTTCACAGTGAGAGAATTCAGCTGCCTTGGCGGAAGTCTGCGCTCTCCGAGTGCTCTAGTTGTCTATGTGTTTAGTGGTGATATATTTGGGTTATTACGTATCCTTGTTATCTGCAGAGCTGCTTAGAAACTGCATCCAACAAATTCATTTTCAGTATCTTGGACCCGGGCAGGTTTAGAAGTAGTGATGTACTGTTGTTTTATCTTGATTCTTTTTCTTCCTATTCTTCTTTTTATTTATTTTTATTTTTATTTTTATTGTTATAATAATAACAATTATTATCATTATTGTTATTATTACTTATGTACTATTATTGTGTATTCTGCTAGAACTATCTGCTGAGATTCCAGTTTCAAAACGCAAAAACTGATGACCTGTGGGAAGAGCTGGGCGCTGCAGCCGTGAGTAGCTTTATTACTATCGTCATCGTTGTCGCCGCGAGATCGCGATGCATTGTTACAATATACGACATTTCTAATTCATACATACAGTTCAAATAAAATAACTAAATTATATTAATCAAAAGAAAAATACAATGTGTAATGGCATCGTTGACGTTATTGAAATGAAATAGTTGAATATAATATCGAATACAATAGTAACCGTTAAGAAATTATAACAGTTCGATAAAAAATTGTAATTATCATTTTCAATCTCATCGCCGTGGCTGTCAATTAATTAGACGTGTGTATGACATCGTATTCTTCAGGGCATAGACGTAAAATATATCATGGACACGTGGACACTGCAGATGGGCTACCCGGTCGTTCACGTCTCGCGAGATCCCGCGGATCCTAGCCGTGGCGTGGCGCGCCAGGGGAGATTCCTACTTAGCCCAGACTCGGACACAGCCGACGATAAATTCACTTCACCCTACAAGTAGGCGCATTTCTCTCGCCTGTAGCGCCGAGCGCGAAAACTGATGACGTCGACGGAATGGTTGTCGTACGAGTGATGACGTCAGCAGATTGGCGCCTGCGCGCAGTTAAGATGCCACTGCATTCGGTGGAACCGAGTTAAATACATCAAAGATATTGAACAAATATTAGTTGTTGTCAAGTTGCGAAATCAGTCTGCGAACAAGCCATAGCCTCTATACGGTTCAACTGAATTAATTTACACATACAATACAAACTACTTAATCAGCAAAATTCAGTAAATTCAGTTTTACTTACGTATATCCTGTAGTACACTCTGTATATGTATATATGTATATGTCTATATATGTATATGTGTATGTGTATGTGTATGTGTATGTGTATGTGTATGTATATGTATATGTATATGTATGTATATATGTATATGTCTATATATGTATATATATATATATATATACATCAAGAGCTAATAATACTTTATAGGTATTATTAGCTCTTGATATACATATATGGCTTAAATGTATGGTTGTACTCTCAGTAGCGTATTTCTGGTGATTCTATGGGTGCAGCGCACCCTGGCGGGCATGTCTGTCACATGTTTCAGCTGTGTGTGTGTGTGTGTGTGTGTGTTTCAGCTATACATGGTTTGTGCCGCTAGACTACATTACATCCAGCTCTCCAACCACGGCCACGCAAATCTACATGAACCTGACCACGGAAAGTAGGTGACAAGCAGGGCGTATCAGCACGCACACACGCACGCGCGCACACACTCACCCCCCCCAACCAACACACACACCCACACACACACACACACACACACACACACACACACACACACACACAC